GAGATTTCATAACATGTTTAGCTGCCAACGCAGTGTCACAAAATAAGATTGGCCAGTAATTACACCCTGCAGTGCAGCCAAGTAGGTGACTGTGACTAATGACCTGGTTACTACTTTCATATCTAGGAAGCAAGTAACAAGGCTTCTTTATGTGCTGGGGCTTTCCATACAGTCCGCTATGTATTTAAACTTCTAGTCCTTATATATTCACTACATATACCTGCTGCAATCACACAGATTCCATCAAGAATGCAATTATCTAAAAAGAGATGGTCGACAAATTGGCAACGAGTGACAGGAGAGGTGATTTTTTTAATTTCTCTCATGCAGAAAATTATAATTGGTTAATAAGTAAAAGGAGAGTGACAGGGGAAGGAATTAATCACATTATTTAAAGTACTGAACTGCTGAAGGTACTAGCATCTGCTAAAAAGTAATTCATCTACCACCTAGTTTTTAATTTGTATTTTGGTTCCTCTGTCATCAGGACAGAGCTGCTGTTTGTGCAGGGTTGTTACTCAGTGTTGCCTCATAATGTGGGCAGCATCTGCTCCAGGAGGGTCAGACCTGGATGTGTTAGTGTTAGTACAAAAGTGCACAAAGCAGATGACCCGAATTGCACAATTCGTAACCTAAAAACGTTGTGCAGAAAAGTGAAAAAGAGAGAGAGGGAGAAAAATGTAGAAAATATGAGGCAGAAAGATGAAGGACTGAAAAATGGTTTACGGAAGCTTTTGAAATAACATAAGAGGAAAAGAATTGCTCTGGCATATCCAAAAGACAGAGATACATAACAATAAAGGAAAACAGAAAAGATGGTTGGAGAGAATATCAAAAAGGTCTTTGTGTGTGTCAAGAAGGCAAGACAGGAGAATGAAAATTAAAGTACAACTAAAAACAGCCAAAGTGTCTCTTCTGATTAAAAATAATAATAATAAAATAAAACACTGAGATGTGGGCAGAGAAACTCAGAAAAACAACACTAATTAAATCAGAAAAAGTCTTGCTGAGAAACAGGGTGGAGAGGAACAGAAAGAGAAACCACAATGAAAGCTCTGTTGCTATTATTTCAAAGGACTTGGGATGTTGCTATGTTGAGTACATGTGTTTGTTCACACTAGGGATGTTTCTTATGACTAATTTACTAGTTGATTAGATGGGAAGAAAAATTCTAACTAATCAACCAGTCTGCAAATATGAAAACAATAAGAAGGCATTTAAATCCAAGTCAATCTAATGGATGAGGTTAAACATGGGCAATAATCAAAATGCAGCTGAAAAGTGTGACGCCATGCATAACACTGTACACGCTCAGTGTCAGATGCTGAGTGTTGCTAACATTAGCAGTGGTTGTCCCAGCTGCCTTCTTTCCTTGAAAATTAACATCCACCCGCTGTGCTAGATGTAGTTCTGCATTGCTCTGGGCGAGCGGTAATCCGCCAGCTTATTCTGAGGCAACAAGGCAGAGAGGGCTGGTGTCATCTGCTCGGGCTAAAAGTCTGTGTAACATCTGCATAACATCTCAGAAGTGACAGTTAACTGGCAGTGTAAAATAATACAATTAGAATAATTGCTCCACCAAGTATGTATAGCAAGGGTGGCAGTATTTAAAAACCTAGTCAACTAGTCGCTCACACCCCTGGTTCAAAAAGGGGAGGCAAAAACTGGAAGGTGAATGGCCAGCTTGGCTAAATAGCAGAATGAAAGGGGGGGGGGGCAAACATTACATTTTCAGCCAATAGGAGGATGATATGTCCTCAGCATCGATGGCAATGCCAATGATACCTGGCTAACAGCAGTACACTTACCATACATTTTTGTATGTTTTCTATTACATGCTATATAGTGAAGTCAGAGCCAACATAACAGCAAAACTTTAACAAAATGTATAATTAACTGCAGTCATTTCTTTTAATGTCATTTCTTTTAAGTCTATAATTGAGATCAAACCACCCTGATGGCTTACTGAACAAGTACAGGGGTCCCTTGTTTATCCTCATTTATCGCGGGAGTTACGTTCTAAAAATCCGCGAAGTAGCCAACTTTATTGTTTACAATTATTATGGATGTTTTATGGCTGCAAAACCCATCACTACACCCTTTATACACTTTTCTCCGACAGGCTTGAACATGTTCACACTTTTCTCTATTGTTTAAACACTGTAAAAGTTCAAACCTTCGTAGAAAAATAAGTCCATTATTATAAAATAAAACCAAAGGGACCAATAGTGCAAAACGTTTCATCGACATTTTTGTGTTTATGGGAGAAATCTTACAAACATACAGTACAGCACTTCAGAGTCACACTGCTGGCGATCGAAGATTAAGATAAATTTGACAAGCTGAATGCATTCTGTACTGCACAGGAGACATGACACAAGATTGATTGACAATGGTCTACAGCCAATCAGGACACCGAACACAATGCGCCGTTTAAAAAAAAAGCATGCAAAATTGCACCAAAAAAAATCAGCGAAACAGCGAGACCGCGAAAGGTGAACCGCTTTATAGCGAGGGACCCCTTTACACAGTGTATATCCCATATGGAAGCATAGAGAAAGTACACTTTGACCTGCCTTTATGTAAAATGATGCCTAATCTGATTAAGTTAGAGCGCTCTCGTTATAATTGATTTAAGTTTCTTGAAGGTGACAGCCCACCTTCAGAAAGCTCTTCAAGGTGATCAACTTCCTACAATGACATTTTGAAAAAGTCTAGGTCATTTTTTGAGGCGGTAGGGTTTCTTTGCTGCCTGCGTTGAGTGCTGGAGGGGACATAGCGAATGTTGTTTAAGAAGTCGTAACCTTTCTTTAAGATGTTACTTTCTTTAAGGATGTGCAAAACAAGTTTACAGTCTCAGAGAAGAGACACAGCGATGTCTCTGACAGATGGATGAAAGGTAGAACAGATGACGGATACATGAGGGAGGGATGGGAGATAAAGATGCAGAGATGAAGAGCATTTGTGAGAAATAGAAGTCAGGGGGTGGATAAAAGGGAAGATGAAAGCAAATAGGAGGCGATGGAGGAATCATTTTTAGTAGACATGAAATGGTGAGAGGGCAAAAAGATGGAAAGATAGATGGATGAAAAGACCTGATGGGAATCCTGATGACTGGTAAGCCATATGTTAACGATGGCAGTCTGACAGCCTCTGGTTTAACCCTATTCACACACACACACACACACACACACACACACACACACACACACACACACACACACACACACACACACACACACAATCTATACAGACTGTAAGCCATGCATCAAGGCTTACAGAGTCCAGCCCCAACACATGCTACAGTGAATGGGTACCATCCATCACGGCTGTAACTAGACAGAGATGCAGCAGCAGCCAAGACTAAACCAATCAGATGGCAGTGTGTGTAACGACCATCTCAAACCAAAAACAATCTAAAGTTATTTTAGAGTTTGAGCTGTCCTCAAACTTATACAGATGTTTTTTACCAATACAACCCTGAAGTGACAAAAAACCTCTGTGTGCTAAAATAACATAGAATACCAGAACCAGAAAATAAAAACAGAAATAGCATGTTTCTTCTCAGAGGAAATGTGCTTAACTGCAAAATCGGTGTGCTAAAAATGCTCTTACCAACTGCAGTAGCATGTCTGAGTGCTAAGATGCCTTTCTTTTGTCTATTTGTGTACAAACCGCTGAAAGGATAAAAAAAAACCTGACGTAGTTACTGTTTGATTATCAGTTTGATTAAAAAAATCTTACATATGGACACTCAAAAAGCCTCTTAGACTAAAATGTATACTTATGTCAAATATCAAGAACCACATTGCATTTTTACATGTTGCCATTCTTTATACTTCAAATATTTGTTCATAAATGGAAAGTCAGAGCAACAACAAGCATTACTGATAACAGATAACCTTTAAAGGTATCACACAGAAAGAAAATAAGATCAGTGGTTATGTAGCAGCTGGGAGCTCCACAAATAGCTTGACAATATGATGCAAAGAATGATGAGCCATCAGATGATTTTAGCTTCCATTGAGACCAGCTGATCTTCGGGGACTGCAGGGAAATTTGAGTTAAGAGCCAGAGCTAATGCTATGCTGCTTTTTTGTGCATAGGGTGCAGTTAAAAAAAATCTGGCAATCTACCATTAAAAAAATACCAAACATATAGGTTCCCTCCAACCAGCTGACCTCTGCAAGCACCTTAGATTAAAAGTGGTTGTCCAAAAGCTGAGGATGTTGCATGCTCAACCACCGGGACACCAGTTGGTCACTGCAACTATTTGCAATGGGTCGCTTAATGTAACAGAAATTCAGTGCAATCACCAGATTGCCAGCACTCTGTGACAGTGCCATTACATGTATTATGTGTGTGCTTTGATTTCACCACACAGAAAAACATCAACTTTCAATCTGACCAGACAGACTGGCAATAGTACAACTTTTTTCAGGAGAATGCAAAGCATTGAAGCCCAAAGGAGGCACAGAAGGACAGGAATGGGACAGTCACATCGCAAATTAACCCACAGCATTAGACAGTCAACACAGTTTACTGTAGTGTCCTGGGGTGTCTAAAAATACAGGAGTCGTTTGGTGAAACTGACACAGTCTTGACTCGCGACCTTCCAGTATATCCTCCCTGTGATGGTGTCCTCCTTACCAAAATCAAGCTGAAGAGTCACTGTTTTCACACAACGAGGAAAAAAGCATGCAGTGAAGGGGCACGTGTGCAGGGGAAGTTCCACTGTGTGATCTAAAAAAGGCAGTAGCACTGGACATGTACCAGATTATGACCCCGACTAGGAGATCAGACAAATTTATGTCAGGTTATAGTTTTGGCCAATAACGTATCTTTTTTGTGTCTATTTCTTTAAATACATTTTTTTAAAAGAGGTTTTTAATAAATCTGTCCCACGTTTTTCTCTTAAATACCATTACTTCTACTCCAGTATGTATGAGGAAAAGTCTGCTTCCATAAATGGCTACCATTATGTTTGTGTTGTGTTGTACCTTGTCTGAGCAGCAGCTGTAGCTTTCCTCTCTCTAACTCCAGGCTGAGGCTGACGCCTTGCTGCCCCTCTGCATGCAGCAGTATCCCAGAATTCCTCAGGGTTTTAAACTTCAGAGAGACAACCTCTTTGGATGTCTGCCACGGCCCGGGACTCAGCCTGTACACCAGGCTGCTGCTGCCACCGTTTAGGCTCACCACATCAGAGGCTAAAAATCAAAAACAAAATAGATTTCATGATAAAAGAAACGAGAGCAAAACATTGAAACCAGAATCTTAAGCAAAAGCTTAACAGTTCATATCATATAACCCTGAAACAGACAACAGTCCTTGTGTTTGTGCAATTTTCCTACAGCATCAGATTGTGCAAAGCTCCGACTAATAACTGGGTGTCAGAATTGCTATTAATACCATGTAATATTCTAATTCAAGGTTCTTAAATAATGCTTATGCTACCCTGCATAAACTCACAGTTACTCACACTTGTTACTCATCTACTTGTACCTGTAATTCTGTGGTTGTAGCAGACAATTTGTTAAACAGCGAGGGAAAACCTTGCAGCAAGGACTGAATCTGTATTCTGCTTAACACTTTTCATCAAGAAGTCTCACAGTTACTGCGTGCTGCTCGCTGGGGATTTGGGCTGAGGTCATGTGAGGAAAACGGTGTAGGTGGTAAAGAATGAACTGCAAATACTGAACTGTTTAAAGAGAGCTGCGGCTGAGTTCAGCATCAAAAGCCTTTTCAGTTGTACAACTAATTTCTCCGACTGAATGTTTCTTAATGGACTTGGCAACTCTTTGGCTTCCTAAGGCTTACAATCAGCCAACCACTTTGCTTGCAGTAATGCTCTTATTGCATTGTACAGTGTATTTCCTGCTGATTGCAGAGCAGTAGGCTTGGGCTCGGAAGCACTGAGTCATCCTCTGCGACTGAAAGCTAAAAAACATTACTTGAAGTCGACTCTGTGGACTATCAAGCCATTCTAATTAAGTCCCAGATTACATTTTGTTCTACAATATTACGTATTATGTAATTACAATCAGCCATATCCCTGTAATTATCCCCAGAACATATTGTTGATTATTTTTGACTCACTACCTGCGTACTGAAATAGCACTGGACATAGTGAGTGCAGTAATTAGCTGGACATAGTTTTACACACATATATTTGATTGATTGCAGTAAATATAATCATAGAAACACACACATATGACAATGGGAAGAAATTAATAAAAAATACATAAATAGAGGAGACAAGTCCCTGTAGCTATGCTGTTGCTTTCTAGCATCAGTTAATTAGCAGAGAGCAATTTAGACTGGTATGAATATCATACTTCAAAGACATGTGGTTATCAGCAAGAAGGCCTACAAAATGGACTAGTCTGGCCCATGGGATGGTTTCAGGAATACTGCAGAGAAGATGGGGAAGAATTTTTGTATTTCCCACTGTTTGCTTCTGTAGGAAGCATTGGGTTACAGGTTGTTAAGAATAGAGGATGTCAAGGGACCGGTTGTCCAATTCTTAATGTCATTTGAGTCAGAGATCTGAATCATAATCGATGTTTAGCCTTCCTAAAATCAAACTGGACTTGTTGTTCTATAGATCTGGAGGTATTTTTATAGTGCTCCTGCACACTTAAGATTAACTTGCGCTTTAATAACTTAAACATTTGACACCTCTGTGTTGCAAGCTGCAGACAGCACAATTGTCTGTGTCTACATTTAAGACAAACTATCCCATGGGTGGTAATAATTTAACTCCAAAAGTCATCCTCGTGGTGCCAGGAAAATAATCTTTACTCCATGACTCACTGTATAAACTTTAAATCCATCCAGCAGATGCTGGTATCTTTCAGGACCAGCTTAACCACCTACTGTCATTTACAGACTTTTGACGCTAGTGCAAAAAGAAATCTTCCTTTCACAGAAAAATGCTCTTTTGCTGAAGATGTAGTGAAAATACTCCTCATTTATACTCCATTATTGTGCCTTCTTACAGTGTTTTACACTATTAGCAAATAATACAGATCATCACACTTCCAGCACTTCCAGAAACCAAAAAGCTCTGGTGTGTGGCTAATTCCACTAATTAACTTTTTAATCATGAATAGGTTTTTTTTTGTTCAGGTTTGCATGGATTTTAAGAAGTTTAAACTCTCATGTAGGCCAGGGAAAATGTTCTCCATCCATTCTTATAATGTTAACTACAAAACACATTATTTTGTGTTTCCTTAAAAAAGACTAATATCCACCGAGCATTTACATTCAGTGCATTTCTCACACTGTGGCAAACCGTTTGTCACCAGCAGCTATATCGCAGCTCCCTGCGATGTATTACATTTGTTTTTCCGGGGAGGATTCTGCCGTGAATGCTGCATTAGTTTTCTGCAGGAACACCAGGAATCTTCTCTGACAACTGTGACACCAGCTGATAAATATAGCACACAAATATATCCGTAAGTAACTTTTGAATATTTCCAAACGACTATAGGCTATTCATCAAAATCCATGTTTTAATGTTTCTCCAAATCCATCTTCTTCTCACGCAGACAACAGTAAATAGAGTTAAATAAGGATATATACAATGGTTTTAGCATAAATCATCTTTATACTTGGCAGATTACATGTGATGAAGATGCAAGTACAAGATGTAAGACTATAAAGACGATACAGATGTCACATAAAAGTGGCGATCACCAAGAACAAACTAAAGAAAACCTGAGGACACTGTTGGTACAGTTTCACACTGCCGGGTTGTTTTTATTAGAAGAACAAAGAGTCTTATAAGAAAAGAAGACTATGTGTCTTCTTCTAAGAGTGACATTCAGTATGAATTAGAAATAAATGGAAAAAGTAGAACACTTTCAAAAGACATCTTTTGAAACCAAGTCGTATTTGTGAAATTGCTTTTTCCTTTTTAGTATATAATCAAAGCAAATGAGCTGATGTCCTTTTATTTTTATACTTCTATTTTAAAATTCCACTCAGAGTACAGCCGGCGAAATATAGGCGGAAACTTGAAATAATACACAGAGACGGCTGTGGAGGAAATCCCAGGAAACCGTGTTTGCACATGAATAGTTATTGTTTGCTAAGTATATTCTAGCATGTATATGTAAATATATGGAGTTGCTTTTGATATTCATGAGTATGTCGTGTTTTGATTAGAGCACAGAAATCAGGGCAGAGCAGCAAATGAACGCTGAGAAGACAAAAGACTACAAACACCTGCTCGTTTAAGAAAATGAGCAAAGCCTGTACGTCTGACTGTACACCTTAGCTGTAAAGGGAATAAAGACCAGGATGAAGAGGAGTTCCATTCATTGAAAATATAGTCTAATGTGTTTAAAGTCATGCTGAGTCAAGAGGATTCATATTTTATATGGAAAAAAAACAACAACTCACATATGTTATGTAACTGAATGTGAATAAATCTGACAGCAATGCTTATGTGCAAAAGCAATGTCGTATTTGTTTAGTTCATTGTACTGATGCTACGGCTGCTGGGGCCAGCATGTATAAAAGCAGCTCTTAACTCTTAACAAAAGGCTTTCAGTGAAAGAAAAGCAGCCCAATAACAAAATCATGAAATGTATACGTTTCTCAAGAAAAGACTGAATAAAATTCAGGTGATCCAGTCGGGATAAAGAAGACAGAACTTACTGTAAGGACATCCGTAGGTTTCCAGTCGCAGTCCGATCCGTCCGCTGGGATTCCAGTCCAGAGGAATGAGGCGGAGAAAACGTGCAATCGCTGGTTGCTGCAGCTTGTATTGAACCACATTGTCTGCATTGCTGTTACCTGGAAATGACTAAAAACATACAAGCAGAGAAAAAAAATGACATGTAAATATTTACATATATAAATATTTGCACTGGAAATTCAAGTTTTTTGGTTTCCTGTTTGTAGGTTGCCCAACCAGTCTACATGTGTTTTGTGGACTTTGAGAAGGTATTCGACCGTGTCCCTCGGGGGGTCCTGTAGGGGGTGCTCCTGGAGTATGGGGTGTCTGGCCCATTGCTATGGGCCATTCTGTCCTTATACAGAAGTTGCAAGAGCTTGGCCCGCATAGCCGGCAATAAGTCGGACTCGTTCCTGGTGGGTGATGGGCTCCGCCAAGGCTGCCCGACGCTGTACCGATCTGTTGTGGTGAAGAGAGAGCTGAGTGTAAAAGCGAAGCTCTCAATTTACCAGTCGATCTACGCCCCTACCCTCACCTAAGATCACAAGCTGTGGGTAGTGACTGAAAGAACGAGATCCTGAATACAAGCGGCGGAAATGGGCTTCTTCCGAAGGGTGGCTGGCCTCTCCCTTAGAGATAGGGTGAGAAGTTCGGCGATTCGGGAGGGGCTCAGAGTAGAGCCGCTGCTCCTCCACATCGAAAGGAGCCAGTTGAGGTGGTTCGGGCATTTGACAAGGATGCCTCCTGGGTGCCCCCTGGGTGACGTTTTCCGGGCATGTACCACCGGGAGGAGGCCCCGGGGCAGACCCAGGACATGCTGGAGATATTATATCTCTTGGCTGGCCTGGGAACACCTTGGTGTCTCCCCAGACAAGCTGGAGGAGGTGGCTGGGGAGAGGGAGGTCTGGGCTTCTCTGCTTGGGCTGCTGCCCCGGATAAGCGGAAGAAAATGGATTGTAATGTGCTTGCAGTCCGAGCTTTCTTGACCAATCGTGTTTGAGGAAGCTTTGAGGGCATATAATTCACACTGTATAATCCACATTCCCAATAATATAATAATATATCAACCAAGACTACTGTCGGCGTATCTTTTTGTTGTTTGCTTTCTGTTAATTTTTTTTTGCATTGTTGAAGAATGAATGGCTGGGGGAAGAGGAGGTCTTTGATTGGGTGTCTTGTGGCTCCACCTAAAGTCCTGACATATTGGAAAATCTCCCCCAGGGACTAAGCCACAAGAGTAGCCTATGACTGCAATCATCTTGATATTAAAGAGTAAGATATGATATGATATATGTAGCAAGCTGTAATGTTTATCATGTCAAAATTTTCCCACATTCACCAAAGCATCGAAAGCAAAAATATAAAAGCAGTAAAGTAAAATTTTTAATTGATGATAAATCGGTAAGTGTTAAGGAAGCACCGAAATAACTGAAAATCATTTAGCAGCTGTCCACTCAACAAGATCAACCGTCCCATTAGCATCATTAAAAGGGGACATTTACCCTGTACAGGGTCAAATACATCCACATGTAGTGCAATTACTGATGCAATATTCACAATATTCTTTCCTCGCTCTGATACTCCTTTAATCACAACGCTATTCCACCTTTTTGTTGAAACAAATAAGAGTTTTGTGTCTGACTGTGGACTATTTCACTCTTTAATCAATGGGCTGTAAAAGCAGGACGATCAATAGTAGTGATTCAGCTTCTGAGATGGAGGGTCAGCGCTTTTTCTGTATTTCTAAAAACACAAATTTATGATTATTTGTAGCTTTTTTATTTGATTTAATCTCAAGGTCATCCAGTCTAGGCTGTTTTATCTAGTTCTCACTTGGCTTACCAACTATGTAGACACACAGCGCTTTTAATTGGGTAAAATGAAAGGCAGAGATATGCCATCTGTGTTGTACTTAAATGTATAAAATAAAGCTGATCACACTGGCAGCTTATATGATGACCATGTTAAGGACACAGCACATTTCCATTAGGAATTGGAGACACACCATGCTGCATAGAAAAAGCTGTTTCTGATGGGCAGATGAGGCAGGAAGCAGAGGTGAGGGGGAAGTTTAACAGCAGTTTGTATCTTTTCAGATTTGGAAACTTTTCCTTTGAGGAAATTATATTCATTAATCTACTTTATGCTAAAATCCTTCCATAAAATGTGGAGTGTTAGCAGCGAATTGGTTTGTCGGTCTCTCTCAGACTCTGGGCATAATGCCTGATGGATTTCTTTCCATCTCCTCCATCTGGCTATCTACCCTAATTACATGCCTCCCTTGAAGTTGACACGCAGGTTAACTCGCTCTCCCAATACTGAATAAAACTTAGACACTTAATTAACTTATTAATTCCTCTGTAATCAAAAGAAAGTGAATTGGATCACATCATATGATGAAAAGAGACTCTATGTTTGACTGAAAGGAAAAAAAAAACATTCAATGTGAAATCTGAGAATTCATTTTTGAGACTCTTATGTATGATTTAGTTCACTTTGTTCTTTAGAGGATGAAAACTTTAAACTCTTGGTCTTTTGAAACATCTGAAAATCCTCACATATAACATGATACTGATGCTTTCTTAAAAGAAAACATATACTCAGCTCTTAAAGCATTCTTATGTTTAAGAAGCTGAAAACAGCTGAAATTTTAAGTGGAAAGTTATTATAAGGTAAAAAAGAAAAGAAAAGACTAAAGCAGTTAATTAATCTGCAACATCAGCGAAGTTTGGAATAAATTGTATTATTTGTATCATGTGATCCAATTGCACCAGGTTTTTCTTAACAGGAATGTTCCATTAATGTTAGGTTTTTGATACTAAATGTTCCTTTGAAGAGACTAAAAGAACAATAGAGGATTGTTAAAATAACAGCATGTTGTTTGCAGACAGGATGTGAGCATCAATCTTCTGACTCAAAGACGAAAATTTTGTGAACCAGACCTGCAACCTTGACTCAAGACAGAGACCTCATCAGAGAGGAGGAGAAGGCATTACTACATTACTTTAAAGTGCTGGAATTCAGGGCCAATGCTGTTCTGCTGAGAAAAATCCGATACAGAATTGTTTAGGAGTGTAAGAGTAATGTTTCTGTTCGTATGGAGTTGAGTGAAAGCTGCAGTCCAAAAAAGTGAGAGGCTGAGTGTTTCATCTGCTCAGAGCATTGAGGCAAACAGCAGGAAGGATGCACCAGAGTGATGAGTATCAGTGGAAAATGACAGAGGGGGAAGAGAATCACCTGGTGAGAAGAAGGAGGGCAATAAGCAGTAAAGACAGCAAATAAGAAAACAAAATAAAGTAATAAAGGGAATTTGAGAAACAGGGAAAAGTGAAAAGAGCAGGACTTGTTTCCTCATCTTCAGCCCTCCAGGCAAGAGAAAGCAAACAGATAAAGAGGAACGAGACAATAAAGAAAAGATGGATTGCAGTGTTTCCAAGCACCCACGGGCTTCTGAGGAAAAAGAAAGAGAGAGAGAGAGAAAAAAAAGACGTCATCCTCAGAGAGGAAGAGGAAAACAACAAATTCCCTTCCCTGGTCTTCTGCCCACTAAAGCAAAAGTCGCAAATGATCCAGGAACCCTGCCATTAACTTTCTCCTCTGGAAGAGTCTTTATGCCTGGCTGACAAATTCACAAAGTTTCCGAAATCCTTTGAGATGTGACTGGGTTTGTAGAGAACTTGTGTAGCACCTCAGATCAAGATGTTTTTAAACTGTTAGGAGCAGTTTCCTCTGCTTTCTCAGAAAAGATCCACAGTTCTGAGATTAGTTGGATTAAAACTCAGCTCGACTTCTAATCAAAGCTCCTCTCTGCAGCTCTGTAACAAATGCGCTTTCTTCCTGGATCAGTGTCCATGTACACAGTGGAAAACTTTGCAGGTTTGTTGCTTGATCTAGTGTCCAAGTCACAGGGAGCATGCAGGTACATATTTTGAAGTGGCTCACTGAGCTGACAGGATTCATCACTGTGTTTGCTTTCAACACCAAAACTACTTAGTATTCTAGTGCCATTATACTAAACCATGTATCGCCACTGCAGTGGGACAAATACAACAGAGTCCAACATGACACTTGTGCAATGAGAAAACGCCAAAGGGAAGTGCTGTGTCTACGAAGAGGCGGGAGGCGATGCCTCGCTGCGTCTGTGACCCATCTTGTTGATTTTTTTCATTAATCAGCCCTACAGAGACCAGCTGAGGCTTTATCACTTCATGCCTATGTTTTGCCATGTTTCTGCCATGTTGTTAGTTGTGATCAGTGGGGGGAAAGTAATAAAATGATCCACAGGAAGGTAACAAATTACAGAAGAATTCTACAGAAGGTGTCTGATTAAGGCTTTGGGCCTACACAGGATTTCCAGAACAGCTTCACTGATCCTTTCATGTCTATTTCACCCAGTGCAAACAGTACTGTGATGAGTACACAGTCATTCATCGCAGCACAAACGTGATCATTTTTGGTTAATTTGCACTGATCCTTACGGAGACAAGTGGAAATAAGCCCTGTGAGCAAAATCCTCCTATGGTAGAAAGACTTACTGGACTTAAGTGGTTCTGGTTTTCCTTTACATTTGTTATCTGTCTGTTTACTCTGGTTCTGTCTTTAGGAGGTACTTTAGTGAAACACCTAACTGAGTGTGTAAGAGTGAGGGCTTTTTTATCACGTGGCCTAAAAATGAAATGTATATAAAAATGAATTAATGAGGAGCACAGAATGTTTTTGTTTTTTAAAACACACGCTCTTTCCATTCAGTCTCATCTATACTCCTGGGTCACACACATCTTCCACTAATCAACAACAAAAAGTGTCAAGCGATCAAGTGTATGATGCAACATCAGCAGACATTGTGGATGGACTTAATTTGTTAGATCATTACATCTTTTTTTAAGATCGAATGGCCAAGGGTTCATCGGAGTTTGTGAGTGACACATGCCCTTTTCTGTTCTCTTAGATGACTAGCTGTAGGTGAAGCTGTTTTGGACAGATAAGAGCAGAATAATGTGTTTAATCACTGCTTTTTGTCTTTAAAAACAAACAATGGCCTTAACCTTCTTGCACTTAAAATGCAATAATCACATGTTTGATTTGAGATTAAAAATCAAAGGTTCATCGTGTACAGCTGGGGTTAGCCTTTATAAGACAAATCTGTATTTTCTGATAGAAGGGGTATGTCTATAAGTCTTAAATGTCGGATCTTATTTGCATTTAGTTTGAATCATATTAAAGGGTAAAATGTGAGTGGTATTTATATATAATTTATTTTAGTCTTTCTGACTTTTCAAAGCGCTTCAACAAGCAACAAAACATAAAGTGCTTTGAACAGCAAGAGCAAGTAGAGCTGTTATTTAAATCCATCCATCTATCATCTATCTATCTATTTTTGACTGCCCCATTTGACTGCCTCTCTCCTCATGATCTGCAGCTAACTGTGGTGTCAGAAGGTCTGCAGACTCAGCAGATTCCGACCTGGGCTCATACATCAGAAATGAAAGGATAAACGCATTATGGCTGAGTTTATCTGTACAGGACAGATCAAGCCACAACAAGACAGCACATCACTTCACATGACTTACAATAAATGCATAATGTTTAATGATCCCTGGGGGGAAACACCACAGTGCAATACAGGGTAGGAGCTTTTGACTCATTTAATGTGGCTGGAAAGAGTGATTGTTGGGGAAACTGAACAACTCAATGCCACACACATCCAAAAAGTTCTCTTTTGGTTAACTTATTTTATTGTGTAACACTTATTGTGTCTGTACTGTAGGTAGTGAGGCAACAGAATCAGCAAAGACAGCAAGCTCATTTATTCAGCATCTGACTTTAATGCGGATGCAAAGTCCTGAAATAGGATTGTTGTTTCCAGGTTGCAGTGAAATGTGAGTTGAAATTGTGTAGTGTGTGGACTGTGTATGTAGACTGTGCTTCTTTGTCAATTTGGCACTGGGGTAAAAGACAAACTAACAAAATTTATGGATGCATGGATTATGGATTACAGCATTGAATTCAATTTGATTTTCAATAGCGCCGCAATGTCCTTTATGTTGTAAGGTAGAGACCTTACATCAATACAGAAAAAACAGAGAAAACCCCAAAAATCAGGACCCCTGTGAGCAATCACTTTGGCAACAGTGGGAAGGAAAAACTCCCTTTTGACAGGAAGAAACCTCTGGCAGAACCAGGCTCAGAGAGTCAACAGTCATTGTGAATTTTTCCTGGAAACAGGAGAAACCTGGGGAAAAGGATTGTTGGCAGGAGAGCAGCTACATTCACCAGTCAGCATCACAAAAATAGGAAGAGGGTATTTTAGTCTGTTGTCACTCTGGTCTATGAAACTCCTTTATTTTGTGTGTTTGTTGGTAAAAGACTGCTGTGTGTGGTGAGGTCATGGTGAAGAATAGAGACAGATGAGCTATGTTCCACATATACAAAAACAGACTGAAAAAGCCCACTTACAGGCACTAATTATGTCAGACTAAACGATTCACAATTATATCTAAATGATGTTCTCCTGCTGGTGTAGCCAACGTGTTTCTTATCATGCTGGAAGTGTAAAAACAATCCTCGGTCTTTCTCTCCATCTGTCTCATAGCAGTAGCGCCGGTGGCGTTTTTCTATTTCCCACACAGCACTGTATGTTTTATGGAAGCTGGACAGCTGCCTTAACAACTACCTGTTCAGCTACCTTCCCTGCTCGTGGATGGAAGGGGGCGGGGGGGACACTTATATCACAGGGGGACAATAGAACTATGGAGAAGATCGCCAAACCCTACTCACCCCTATGCTGTCCTCCTGTCTGTACTGCTTCCAGTTGTGTCCCGTGTCACTGAACATCAGCAGGTAGGACGTCAGCCAATCCGAGCTGCCATAACGGCCTTGTGTGGCAACAGCTGTGATCTTGGTGCGCTCGCCTAAGTCGACCTCCAACCACTGATACTTGTCTGAGATGAGAGGAGACCAGCCTCCAGCTCCTGCAGACAGATGTGAATATAAAAAAAGACACCATTTATAGATAAGTGATGTATTAGATGTCCATGTAGATTGGATGAGATGAAATAAGTTCTGGTGAGGAGAAAAGAATGAATTGCATTGCTTGACCTTTCATTGTGAGCCAAAAATCCCACTTTTCAGTTATGAAACCCGAATAATGAAAATTGATTGAACCACAGTATGCATCATTAGAACCATTCAGAAGCTATACTCAAATATAAATCGTACTTTAAGAACTCTCTTTTGGAACAGAAGCATATTTATAGGTCACATGTAAGATTAAAAGATGCAGACTTCAATTCAATTCAATTTTATTTATATAGTGCCAAACACAACAACAGTTGCCTCAAGGGGCTTGCCTCAAGGTAAAGACCCTACGTTAAAAGCATTAAATATTTCAAAGCAATGAAAAAACCATCTCCAGATAATGTCTGTGTGTAAACTGTAGATCCGTAAAAGATCTGCTTAAGACAGCGACACTAAACCTGATCACTTCATCCTATTAAATTTAATATATTCCTTATTTGATTAAATGGAGTTCATTCTGCAAAGATATCCTGTTGCAGTGGTGAATGTTCATATTTAAATTTCCAATAATGAGGTCAGTAAATCTAACAGTCCATATGAGCCAAAAGCTTAGAGGTTAAACTGCTCAAAATGCTCCATTTCAAAACATTTTTCTCTACCTACAGCTCTGTATAAGGTCAAGGAGAAGAGGAGGTCACGCAGGCGCTTGAGCTGATAGGTAGCCCCACCTATGTGCTTATTACATAGCCAGTCCAGAAAGTTGGCTTAAGGGAGAAGAAAGAGAGCTAAAATGCTTTGCTTCACACAGGATGAACTGTGGGCTGCACCAAGGCCCAGAATAATATGAATAGAGATCATTCTGAACTATGAATCATGCACAGCTACTCCAGTAGAATCCAGTAAAAAAAAACTGAACTGGAAATGAGTGTTATAGGTCCAGGTATAGGTTCATTGCCATCCATCCATTGCAGGCACAGCAGTCAGACAATCCATGACCTCCCTCTCCCTAGCCACCTCCTCAACTCATCTGGGAAGTCACAGAATTATTCCCAACCAGCCAAGAGCTATAACCTCTTCATTGTGTCCTGGGTCTGCTCCAGGGCCTTGTTCTCTAAGACATGCCTGAAACTATCTCACCTAGGAGGCATCCTGAGACAGATACCTGAACCACCTCAACTGGCTCTTTTAAATGCTGAGGAGAATCAGCTGTACTCCAAGTGCTTCCCAAATGACCAAACTCCTCACCCTGTCTCTAAGAGAGAACCCAGCCCCCCTCGGAGGAAGTTTATTCCCGACCCTCGCATCAGAGAAAGTACACTGATAGTGTGACATGAAACCGTCCTGAACAAGTGAAGGTTTAGTAACAGGGCACATAATCAATTTTCATAATGTGTAATTATGAGAATACACCATTGGAACAGAATATGGAAAAGCATAACAGATCCCCTTTAAGACTGAGCCAAGGTGAGGTCCTGGAAATCAATGTAAGTCAATATAATGTCCTCCGAAGTGGTAAACCCCAGTTGTGTGTGTGTGTGTGTGTGTGTGTGTGTGTGTGTGTGTGTGTGTGTGTGTGTGTGTGTGTG